CATCACTATACTCATGTGCACACCTATCAAAATCCGCCAGAGGTAAGCCCAAACTCGTCAGCGGGAGTACAGTCGTGCCGAGGTTCAACATCAACGATCACGGCCCATCAGCTAGGCTAAAATGAGTCTACCTATCACAAGGTTGGAGATCGCCTACCACTAGGCACTGTCTCATGATTCACACATACATTCATAGAACACAAAGTATAAAAATCATACCTCAAATATAGCATAGCAAATTTTAGATTAAAACCAACCTGGAAAATCAGTATGAAGCACACAAACAGGTCAGTAGGTCGAGGGCTCGACTCCTCAAACACCTACATTAAGTCCAGATGCTATAATCAACATCCATTTGACTTAAACGGAAAACACAATCATACCTAGTCGAACTTGATTCGACTAAGTTGTTCGTGAAGTCCTGTGGACATTGGAACACTTAGACTCGACACTAAGACTCAACCAAATACACATGGGAATTCACATAATCTCAAAAAAAGATTGACCAATTAAAACACGCAAGGAAAATAGAAGGTGAGTTGATTTACAGTTTTATATTGTAAAAGCCATATATTTGTAAATACCAATTTTTTATAAAAACAAGTTGGTCAGGTTATCAAAAACGTTAGGCTCTGAAATTTTAACCAACAATTCACCTCCCAGAACTTAGTATAATCACCAATTTTCAGCCCCAAATTCAAAGTATGCTATTTTATGAAATTCGACCAAGTCTATGGCAAAAATGAGCATAAATTAACAACCAGACCAAAAGAATGATTCACACTTTGAAGTTTTTATCCAAGGTACTTTAACATGTGAATAACAGTGTGTAAAAATCTCAACCTTAGACACCTAACATGCGAATTAATAAAATTGCTACAACATTCAGCAGTTTTTCGCATTGAAAATAAAACTGAAACATTTTGAACTCCAAAAATTTTAATATTTTAACATCATGCAGCTACACATAAATCAAGCACCTCAGCCAAAAATCAGAAGTTTTCAGCATCAGAACCATTTATCATAATTAAAACTGTTTTCAGCATATTACTAGAATAAATGATTAGCCCTATCAAACTTCATCCAAAATCTCTAAAACTTTTACACAAAATACAACTCTGACAGAGAGACAACATATCATACATTCAGAAAGTTTAGAATTAAAATCGATTTTATATGATTTTTTGAAGCTTCTGCCCAGAAATTACTTTAATTATTAAAAATAGCTAAAGGCCATGAAAAATTATGAAATTCTTACACAACATACCACAACCACATAGGACTGCTCAGTTAAAATTTCAAGTATTTTGGACAACCGACCGATTTATGATGAGTTTTGTAAGTTTCAGCAGCAAGACCCGATTCAAAAAATTCATATAAGGCATTATACTCATCAAATTCGTCCAAGACCTTCACCATGAGGCCAAGGACTCTCAAATGTTTCGTAATCCACAGCCCAACCACGAATTTAACATGAATTCATATAATCTCAAGTAATTCCGAACATATATCTCGATAAAAGCAATTAATAGTAAACCCAATCATGCAAATTTCTATTCGAAGACATTAACGAGTCACATAGGATCACAACATAACACATATACGCGCATATAAATTTTAAGGAGGTCAGCCCGAGTACCGTTCTCGGGACGGGTCGCGAAAAGGTCGAACCGGGACTAGAACCGGGCTGAACGGACGTTGGCGGTCGTTTGCTTGCGGGCTCGGACTCCGGGGTAGCAACGCGGGGCAGCCGTTACTCGTGGAACACGCGAGCAGGACGTCGAACGTGACCGAGATGCGAGCCGCGGCTCGGGACAGCAACGAGTCTCACGAACGACAACAGGGAAAGCGATTTTAACGACGAACGGCTCGACCGCTCTCGCTTGGGCTCGCCGACAGAAGAGCAGCGAACTAATGAAGCATGCGATGGAGGAGGGTGCCGCTGGTCGTTGCTGGTTCACTTCTGGGAACGGTGATGGTCGGAATAGAGGCGGCAAGGGAGAGTCCTCGTTCGCCGGATTGGTTCAAACACGCCGGGAATGGGGACGGCGATTTTAGGTCTTGACGGTAACGGAAAAAGGGATCGTCGGGGAAGCAAGGGTTGCTGCGGTTACCTTCAATCGCTACTGTTGATGGGGCGTCAAGCGTCTCTCGGCTGCGGGCTCGCGGTGGGGTTGACTTTCGTCGGCGAAGGGGCTCGCGAGGGCGCGTTTGCAGCGACTGGGGCGCGAGGTCGCCGACGGGACTTGGCGGCGGCTGATACCGGCGATTGGGGACCGCTTGATTCGCGAACAGAGGAAGAAGGAAGGGCGATTTCTCGGGGCTGATCGCGAATCCTTTCTCAATCTGATTCGCTCACGAGAGAGAGTTCAGAGAGCGACGAGATTTTTTTTTTTTTTTCTGTTCTGATAGATCGAGAGAAGGAGAAGAGAGTAGGAGGGCTGCGTGATCGAGATAAGAGATATATGAGAGTTTTTGAATGATTCTGAGGGCTAGAACCCTTTGCTGAGATATAAAAGTGGACTGACGATCGAATGTGCAGGGGAGATTGCAGAAAAATCAGAACGAGTTTTGAACGTGGAGAAGAACAAGTCGTCCTCTGTTCTGCTCACAATATGGGTAAAAGATTTATTTCTCATTGGGCCATAAGGAATTAAGAGGATTGGGCCATGGTATTAATCTTGTAGGGCTAAAATTAACATAGCAAGGATATAGACTACAATTGGGCCAAAAAGATAACTCAAAGCTCGATAAGAAAATGCGACAACACGCATAAAATAAAACCGGACATTATATATATATAATACATACAATAATATTGTTTAATAATAGTAAATTTAAAACAATTAGACATTTATTAATAATAATAATAATAATAATAATAATAATAATAATAATAATAATAATAATAATAATAATAATAATAATAATAATAATAATAAAGAGGAAAAATATTACTAAGGAAAAATAAATAACAACTCCAAAAATCCACAATCGAATGGGGTATTACAATTAAGTACTTTAGGAATTTGCCGACGAGAAATTTTTTAATCCCGACATCTTCCGTCTTGTACTTCATCTCCAAGGAATTCCATAACTCCTTTGCCGTCTTAATCGGACTATAAACATTATAGAGAGAATCGTCTGGTCCGTTAAGGGTATAATTTCTACACAAGAAATCATTGTGATGCCAAGCATCCGAGGCCGTACGCTTTTGCATGTCGGTCTCACTTTCGGGGACGATCAAAGGGTCCTCCGAAAGAAAACAAGAGAGGGAGAGAGTTGTGAGGTAGAAAAGCATTTTTTGTTGCCACCTTTTGAAATCAGAGCCATTGAACTTGGGCGGTCTCTCGCCTTGGACAGGAGCAACTACCATCAGTATAGCGATAGGTTGAGCATTTGTTTGGTTTCCTTCGGTTGCCATCTTATGAACTCACAAATATTTCGTCTTAAGATTGTTGTCTAGAATTGTTGTTTTGTATGTGAATTTCAAGAAAATGGTTTAAGAAATAGAAGGAATTTTAGTAAAACGAACAAAGTCGAGGCACGTAAGATACGCTCTCCTTAAGACGAAATAGCCCCGTATATTACCCACGGTTCACGACTAACGCCTCCAAGATATAACGACTTTTGATTTGTGTATAGTGGTACCTCAAATACACATACCTTTGGCGAACAATATTTAAGTTTCGGAACTCTCAAGATAGGAAAGAACACAAAGAACACAAGATGAATATGAACTTTCTAAAAAGGATGCAAAACTTATGGAATTATTTGATGTCTTGAATGATTTCATGTTAGTGGGTATTTATAGATGGAAAGAGACACCTCTAAGAGGTTTAAATGTCAAAAGACACCTTTTGGGACGTGCCCGAACAAGAACGGATGTATCTAGTGGCCAAAAGATACCTTATGGTCAGCAAGGGTTGCGACCCTTCGATTTCTGCAGCCAGTTGCGCGCCCGTGTCCCGCGGGCTCGTACGAGCTCATACGGACTCGGAATCGAGTTCTGTTTTTTCCTATTTGTCCCCCAACGAGCCCCTCTATAATTCTAGCATACATAATGCATATTTATGACTCGTTTAGTTTGTCCAAACATATATTAAAATATAATATTTGTGAACACTACAACCTTTTAAGTTGTTTAAACTCGATTAATTAAAATATAACACTTAGAATTAATTTCTCTTTCACCTTAAAAAGTTTTGAAACTTTTCTAAGTATTCTACTTACGAAAAAATAGAATCGTTAAATCAGTACAAAATCAATTTTTCTTACAATGAGCAATATGTTTGACACGTATAATAAGCTAGCTTATAGCTTATTTGGCTAGCTTATAAGCTTTCTGTATCAAATAAGCCTCGTTTGGTAGGACGAGCTTATTTAAAAAGCTCGAGCTTATTTGATAAGCTTGTTTAGGTAGCGTTTCAAAATAAGCTAGTTGACTTTTTTATTTCAGCTAGCTTATAAGCTAGTTTTACCAAACACTTTTATCATATAAGCTAGCTTTTCAGCTATACATCATAAGCTATAAGCTATAAGCTAGCTTATAGCTTATCAACTACCAGCTAGCTTATAAGCTATCAGCTAGCTTATCAGCTAGATTTACCGAACACACCCTAAATATAAACAACAAAAAAGTCTGCTCTTGCGGAAACTCACGGATTTCAAAGAAGCAGCTAAAACGCAATTTCCCAGCAAACTCCCCATCCATTCTACTCTCTATTTAATCTCCAAAATATACTGTACTGTATTATTCATATTCAATCAACACATACACACACCCATAATAATAATATAATAATAAGAAAAAGAAAAAAAAGGAAATATTACTTTATTCAATCCACACACACAAAAAGGAAAAAAGGAATCAAAGCAAAAAAGTTGAGAAAAAAAAAAAAAAAGAAAACATTGTCCAAATTAACTAAAGGAAAACCCACCAATCCAGATTAATTTGCACTCCACTCCATTTTCCCCAACCAAATCCAATTATTCAATCAATGAGGAAGGCCAGAGTAAATCCAGTCATCACCATAGCTCTAGTGTGCTTCTGCTTCCTTGCCAACTCCATCAGCTGCACGAAGCTGAAAACATTCCGGCGAGAGTACGGTTCCTTCGACCCGACCCACTTCGAAATCTTCACAGTGGATACCCCCGCCACCATCAGCAACGGCGCCCTCCAAGTCACCCCGGACTCCGCCTCCGCCGACTTCAATCTCTTCAACAACTCCGGCCGCGTTCTCCTCCCGCAGAGGTTCAAGCTCTGGCACGACGCCACTGCCCCGGCCGCCTCCTTCAACACCTCCTTCCTCATCAACATCAGCCGCCTGCGCAACGGCAGCACCCCCGGCGAGGGCCTCGCCTTCCTCATCGCCCCCGACCTCCTCCTCCCCGCCAACAGCTCCGGCCGCTTCCTCGGCCTCACCAACTCGTCCACCGACGGCAGTCCCTCCAACGGGGTCGTCGCCGTCGAGCTCGACACGTTCCGGCAGGATTTCGATCCGGACGACAACCACGTCGGCATCGACCTCCACACCGTCAGATCCGCGAGGACCGAGTCCCTAACCCCTCACGGTATAACCCTCGCCCCCAACGACACCAGGTTTTACAACGTCTGGGTGGACTACGACGGCGAGGCCAGGGTCATTGACGTGTACATTGCGGAGCAGTTGGAGAGATTGGGGCCCACGCCCCAGAAGCCGCGGGCGCCGATTCTGCGGGCGGATTTGGATCTGAGGGAACACGTCCACCAGCACTCCTACTTCGGGTTCTCGGCCTCCACGGGGAGGACCAACCAGCTCAACTGCGTGTTGAGGTGGAACCTAACCGTTCGATACTTCCCCGAGGAAGACGGGAAGTGGGTGGCGGCGGCGCTGGGGGCGGGGATCCCGGCGCTGGTGGTGCTGCTGGCGGCGGCGGCCTGGGTGGGGTGGTGTTGGATGCGGCGGAGGGCGGCGCTGGCGAATCCGGAGCTGGTGGGGGCGCTGAAGATCCTGCCGGGGACGCCACGGGAATTTGGGTTTAGGGATCTGAAGAAGGCAACGAATGGGTTTGACGAGAAGAACAACAAGCTGGGGCAGGGAGGGTTCGGGGTGGTTTACAGAGGGGTGCTGGCCAAGGAGAATAACTTGGAGATTGCGGTCAAGTGGTTCTCCAGGGAGAGTATCAAAGGGCAGGATGATTTCTTGGCTGAGCTCACCATTATTAATCGCCTTCGTCACAAGCATCTTGTTAAGCTACTGGGTAAGTAAGTAGTAGTAACCCATTCTTCATTCTTCATTTCACTTATTCATTACCTTCTTTTTCTCCTACATTATTATTTCCCCAAACATGGTAATTGCTTCACTTGATTATTAATCTGTCAACTGTTGCTGCAAAAGTTTATTGCTGGTTATAAATAAAATTAAATCTTGGTGTTTTATTCAATTAATGATCCACATCATCATAACCATGCATTGTGTATGTATATCAATTGACCTATGTTTTTAAGTGTGGCCATAAGGTGATTGCTTAATTATCTCTAAGGCCTTATTAGATTTGCATTTCACTTTCATATCAGTAGTGGCTTAGTGTAAAGCGTGCCAGACGGGATCTTGTGTTTCAGAAAACTGTGGTTTCCTCGGGTATCGATTTCCTAGAACATAAAATTTTTGGTTTTGTATGATAAATCTTGATAAAGAGGTAACCTTTACCCCAAAATACAAATCACCTTGAACATAAGGAAAGAAGAACCTGGTAAGAGTTGTAGCCTAAGCTAAGAAGCATAAAGACACCATTTTTATCCACTTTTTATTTGAGAGAAAAATAAAGACACTATTGGATTCACCATGGTAGGATAAATAAGTGTTTTAAGGAAAAGTTCAGGTGTGATATTTTATAAACATCTGGGGATTTTGTTGCTACCTAATCATTCAACTTGTTTTTTCTTTAGTTGTGTATCTAATGCAACCACAATTGCAACAGTCATGCTTGTGAACATGTGATAGAGGTGGCTGATAAGTAATGATGCGAAGCACTCGGATAATATACGTATTAACGTTTAACTAACGAAGAAGACGAGCAAAGTTTAGGATATGGCATTGTATCATAGTTGACATTTCAAATAAAGAATTAACTGTAGAAAGGAAGAAAGAATTAGTCATAACTGTATATAGCCCACCAGCGTGCTAGGTTGGGATTATCCCTGTCAAGTTTCTTGTACAATTTTGACCTATTTCATCCTACGTGGCAATTTCATCCTGAGGTTCGAAGGCATGACAAAGTTACATGTACAAGGGACCTAAGGATGCTCTATTATGCAATTATGGAAAGAATCCTATTGTTAAGGATGAAATTGACTTTTCGAGCAGCCTTTTGAATGGTCAAACAAAACATGGCTAATGAATGTCAAACTTCCCCTTGTGAGGTTAACTTGGTCTTCTAATCATATCCTCTAAGGAATTATTATTGGGCAATGCTACATGTACAATTGTAGTTTACAACATTGGTTGACAACTTAGTTAAAAGTATCATTAATTAAAATTTTAATCATACATTTAATTGCATCTCAACCACCCACATTATGCCACATCATGTTGTCATTGAATGTTGTACAAAAAAAATTGTACAAGTAGCTTTTTCCTTATTATTATTCTTAGAACACATGTTTGAAAAAAATGATTAGAGTTAAATAAATAATGAATAAGTATAATCCAAATTATATTTGACAGTGAAACAGGCTATCCATATAATAATAATCTATTTTCATTTTCTAAGATATACCTGTGTATCCATGCATAAGGAAATTAATTAATGATTATCCTATAATAACAATAATAAAAAAAAAAAAAAAAACAATAGAAAGTGCTAGTTGCCAAACTCAAGTTTATGTTCCTGCAAACAGGATGGTGCCACCGGAACGGGAAATTGCTCCTTGTGTACGAGTACATGCCCAACGGCAGCCTGGACAAGCACCTATTCGCGGCGGGCCCAGGTTTGGAGTGGAACCTCCGGCACAAGATCATCTCGGGGGTTGCGTCAGCCCTTCACTACCTCCACAACGAGTACGACCAGCGCGTGGTCCACCGTGACCTTAAGGCCAGCAACATCATGCTCGACTCCAACTTCAACGCCCGCCTCGGTGACTTTGGGCTTGCCCGGGCCCTAGACAATGAGAAGACCTCCTACGCGGAGGCTGACGGGGTCCTCGGCACCATTGGCTACATCGCTCCCGAATGCTTCCACACGGGCAAGGCTACCCAGCAGTCGGACGTCTATGCCTTTGGCGCTGTTATCTTCGAGGTCGTCTGCGGGCAGCGGCCAGGCACCAAAATCGCGGGCTTTCAGCTGCTCGTCGATTGGGTGTGGCTTCTGCATAGGGACGGGAGGCTGCTGGAGGCTGTTGACAAAAGGCTTGGAGACCGCTTTGTTGAGGATGAGGCCCGAAGGCTGCTGCTACTGGGGCTCGCATGCTCGCACCCATCCGCGGGTGAGAGGCCCAGGACACAAGAGATTGTGCAGATTATATCTGGGACGGTCCCGCCGCCTGTTGTCCCGCCTTTCAAGCCGGCATTCGTATGGCCAGGATCTGGGCCCTTGGGTTCAGGCCTGGACTCGGGCTCTGGAAACGAGACGACGACGATTACTACTTCGCATTTTGGCTCAGGATGGAGTCCTCAGTATTTGAGCAGGGAGAGCTGTGGAGAGCAAAATGTGGCCTGGGTGTAGTAGCTTTTGTTTTGATGGTGTTTTCTTTTTCTTTTTTTTTTTT